CTGAAGAAGAGCTTCGTGTTCCATTAATCAAGTTCAGCTCATAATCTTCATTCTGCGATGTTTATGAAAATCCATGTATGTTTATAGAAACCCCTTAGACAAGGATGTGTAGTGTAAATTGGGACCTAGAAAGCGCTCACTGCTTCTAAGCCTCAGATCTGTTAAATGCTCTGTGATACCAAGTACCACCAAAGAATATTTACATTGACTCAATTGCTACCATTATCGGTAATCATGGAAATTTTTTCAGAATCTCCCATCGCTTGTGTGGCAGTTTTACTTTTGAGAAGTTGTCTATACTTTCGCATGGATCTACACATTATTTCTCTTTAATTGTGAGATTTTCATTTCAATTCTAAGAAGAGTGAACGATATATTATTGAAATCTGTCGCAGGAGCGCCATTTCGTACGATTTCCATGGCCATCGTTTTATCCGTCGGAACGAGGCCTTTGGGCTATGGATGAGTGTCTTGCCGCTCGATCTCCTAGTTGTGCTCCATTTGTAGCGCAGGTGGTTGTGCGAATACTATGGAAGGACGTACTTGCGAATCATGTGAGTTTTAGTTGATAAGTTTGTTGCTTCTCTCCATTTTCGTTGAATTGACATGGAGGGTCGTGCCATTTTGTCGGTTTGGGCTCGCTAAGCGATCTTAGCGTCTTGACTTTGCGGGATAACTTTTGTGCAGCGACATCAATAGCTATCCGGCTCCTCTGCCATTAGAGCCTCGCTCTTCTTTCTCTCTCCTTTCTGTCCAAATTTTGACATATATAGTTGTGCGGCATCATTCTTTTCTCTTTCTTTCTTTTTCTATACACGTATTATATGTTTTTACTCTTTGATTCACCTGGAATTCTCTTTATCGTTTTAGTTTTAGATCCACGTTGAGTTGATCCCTCAGTATCTTTCCGTACTGTTCAGTGTTCTCTAGTACGTATTGGATCCACTGCTTCTAACTACATTAAGGTGACTTACATTGAAGTGAATTCGTATGTTTTTCCTTGATGCTCTATGACAACGCACATCTTCATAGGTACGTGCATCAATGCTTGATTTGGTGAAAATGCTATCACAACGTAACGACTGGTCGGCAGTTTCACCTGAACGTGCTGAGGAACTGGCTAAAGTAGTAGCTGTCTGCCTTCCTTACGATTCGCTCACCAATCCGACGGATGTCCTTGTTTTTATTCTAGTGGGTGTGCTGCAGATGTGGGTACTCATCTATATATCTTTGGCTTAGTAAAACACGGGCTCTGGATTTGAACTCACAGTTATGAAAATGTGCTTTTTCTACTTCTATACATCATTTACTGCAGCTGTGATTGATTGGTGTCAGCCATTACAAGTGGAGTCATGTTTAGCATATGGCGCAAAATCTGTTGATTTATGGTTCGTGTGTGCCTTCACATCAGTGGCTCTACTTAAACAGACGGCCTGGTTGCGAACCGAATGTGCTTTGGTGCTTCGTGGTGGTGCTACTGCTGCGCCTCCTGCGTACAGCTCACTGATCGCGGATGTTGATGCTTAGCAAAGCAGCATGGTGAGTGAGATTTTGTTGTTCTGATTCAGAGCTAGGAAGTATGCCTGTCCAGCGATGCTTTCCGTCTTACGTTTTTATATCAGGGATCGTGCTTACTGCCAGGTCATTCCTTTTTCCTCCATTGCTAAATTTTTCGCTTTTGAGAAGTTTAAAGTGCAAGAGCATCTTTGCTCCTCCTTTAAAGGCCTACCCCAAGATCACATTGGTGTGGCTCTTGTACACGAATGCGAATGTATTGGTGCCAAGTGGGCCGGCAGTAAAGAAAAAAGAAAAAGAATCCGTCAAAAACGCTTAGGTTAAGGGCTCACTCACCTTCCTAATCGGCTGTGCTAAGGGAATGAGAGACTAAGCGCGGAGAGGAGAGTATGGGGCGAGAGAGCGCTACAGATGAGAGAGCGCCAGACAACAGCCTGATAAGAAAAAATCTGCAGCTTCAGCAGCTTACTTTGCAAGGCCCAAGCGCTCTTGTCGGTTGGTTTCCGTGCACGGGAACGCCACATTTGTGATTGTCCTCTAGGGTCTATACTACAGACCGAAGAGAAGCGTTCACACGACCTCTGCCTGGGTTGTGCCTTTAATGGAAATTTCAACAATGAGCTCTTAATGTGAACACACTCTTCCTCGTGTTAAGCAGTTAACTTCATTGGTAATTTTAAGAGAATCTCCGCGCGTTCTCCGTCGTTGCCAGAGAACTTACAGTGTTGTGGAGTAGAATTTCCGATCCGAAATTTGGAGGTGAGTCTTTCTGTTGTGCTTACATATTTTTGTGGATGGGTTAAGATGCGGAACATGCGCAACTTTATTGATCAGGCGATTTTGTTTTAGAATCGCTAGTCACAACTTGGAATGCCTATATTGATGCGAATGCTGAGTCTCCACTAGTGCTCATGTCACTGAATACGGTTATTGGTTCGCTCAATTCAGATCAAATAGCAACTGCATTGAAAGTCATGGAAAAGACTATTCAGGCGTACTTCAAGCGTGCGTTTCCAAACCAACTATTACGACATTGCGCTGAACATTGACTTGAATATCGTAGTACTGTTACAGGAAATTGCTTCTCTTGGGCCGAGTTGATGGAATGGGCGCAATGTCCAGGAAGTCTCACAGTCATCGTTCGAGATTATTTGCTGAGTGTTTCAAGGTCGCTGGCGTTTGAAAGTAGTTAGGTCGTTTTCCTTTACCTAACACGTTCACATTTTTAGTTCCAACAAAACCCATCCGTTAATGTTGACGACGGCTTGGTTCTTGAAATTCCTGCAGCCCAGTGACGACGTTGTTTCGGCTCTTCATGGGTTTATCACCAGTATTAAACCGAAGTTCGTGCATTATGAATCAAGCCACAACAATAGAGAAGTGTTCTTATTCAGACATGTCTGGTGCGAGGCTTCATTTCTGCTGCTGATCTGGCAGGAGGTTCGATGGCTGGCTGACTCCGTGATAGCAGCTCATGCCAGCTCTGCTGCTCTCGATGATCGGCTGCCATCATTTATGCGGTGGCTAAGCAAGGTAATCCATCAGCACTCCATCTTCTATATATAGCTGTTACGGACGGTTGAAATAGCTGCTTGGGAGTACTGTTCTCCGTTTGGATTTGTCCTAAGGCGTCAATGTTAGGCTACTACAAGGTACCTTGTTTTTCCAGGCTGCCAAGGATGAGTCAAGCTTTATAACAAATCTAATTACTAGCAAAAAGACGGCTCATTCTCCTCGGTAAGTGCTCATTGAAATACGCTCAAGTATCTCAAAGCTTCCTCCACGTAAAGAATTTCTTTACAGGCTTAGAGCGATCCTAACAATACTCGAGTTGTATCTGATGCAGCAAATGATGGGAGAATCGCAGTTACCAAGAGCCACAGAAAACGCCCCTGTTTTGAACAGCCGAATCCATGCTCTCAAGGAAGTTGCATCCGTCAAAGTGAGCCCCTGATTTGAAGTTTTTATCTTGACCTACCTCCTACTGGCCACTTAGTTTGTTTCGACTGTAGCAGAATACGAGAGAAAGCCAAACTGTTCATTCATTTGGTTCGGTTGGATGTGGAGGCCGATCCTGCCTGCCCTCTGTAGAACATTTCCTTATGGGGGGCTAGTGACACCACTACGTAGAGCAATCTCTCCTCTATGCACTATAGTCCTCTGTTCGTTCAGCGACGACTTCGTGAACGCATAAGACCGGCCGTTTGATACCAGCCGCCTTCTCTCTCGGATTGCTGCTCGGAGACTACACCCTTTTTACGTTGGACGTTCAAAAAAGGCGATATTCGGCGATGTTGCTCCTTTTTAATATCGGTATTTGGGGATTACAGACAGCAGGGGTTATGAGGTGTAATGCGGACGGGGGGGGGTGGGGCAAAACTGTACGGTGGTCGAATCCCAACGTGAAATCTGTCCTATTAACCAAGCGTAACATCCCATCGCTGTCGCTTTAGTCGGTGCTGGTCTTTTCTTTGGTGTAAATAAGCGCTTTTTTATCTGGTGGCCCTCTCAACCCACTTCATGGGCTGAACCGCTTTCAAACATCACTTTGGTTCCCAGTGGGAGCGAATGCGTGGCGTATGCTGAAAAGAATCGATCATAATCTGATGCTCATTTTGTTTATGAAGCGTTCGTTCTAAGAAGCGCCCACACCAATTGTTTTATATCTAGACTCTACGAAGCTCTAAAACAACGCTATGCGTAGATTCGACTCTGTTCAGAAGGATGACTTTGATAACTTCAGGCAAATCAGCAGTTCGCAGCAGCCTTCAATATCGCTACGCCATTCTTCGTACAAGTGGATTTGCATCACATCGGCTCGGCTCCTAGCCTCGTTCTTCAATGTTCAAGAGCTCTATTTAAAGAGAAATTTCTTATGGACCCTGTGATCTTTGTTACTACTTTGTGATTTCGCTTCTTTCCACAACTAAGTCCTTTGAGTCATGTAAAGTAGCTTTGAGGGGTGATTATACTCCATTTGGAAGCAGGGTCCTGTCAAATTTCAAATACTTTCGATCTTTAGTTGACCCCACATGTATCCAGTAAAGTGAGAACAAAAGCTTCTGCTGTCAGTCACGCATGAGACGTGAGCCTTTCGACAGTTGTGAGGGGTTTTTTGTTCACCGCGTTATATTAGTTATACACTACGGAAAGTTGTCTTCAAGATTCCTATTTTTCTTGCTGATTCCTGCTCATACTGGAAAAATCGAGAGAATGGTTCGATTTAGGATCTCTATATTCACATGTTTGACTGGACCTTGCCTTCAACTTTAATGTAAATAAAGGTGGCAATTGACTTAAATGCAGATTATCACTTTTGTAATATGTCCCAGTTAAATTCAACAGATCCGGTTGAATTCGGTGTGATGGCAATCCATCGACATACGTACGAATTTAATGTAATTTAATTTTGATTCTCCTTGTTGATAAATATAAGTACCAAGTGCTGTGTTGTGATTTTACATGGCCGTAAAGAAGACGGTTATTTGACTACTGTGACTGTCTTTGTAATTCCGCCAACACTTCTGTCGCTCAATATTTGGATTTGAGAGGAAATTTGGTCAGATTCCGTAGCTGTTGTAAAAGGGAGGGGAACGTTTGGTGCAATAGTTCGTGCCGCCTAAGGCTGATGTCAGAGTCCGCGATCTATGCGCGCTTTTGCGCGACGGATCGCAGAAATCACAAGTGCCCCGATCATTGCGAGATGCTCCGCAATCCCCGCCATTTCTGCTTGATGGTGATGGTTGAATGTCGACTGTTCATGGCTCCACTTGTTTCATATTCACTGTTTCAAATGTCCGAGTGGAGCACTTGCGATTTCTGCGATTCGATAATCGCGCGAATGGCGCGACAGATCGCGAACTCTGACACCAACCTTAAAGGGAGTGAACCTGGTGCTTGGACCGGATTTACCTTTCGCTTTCTACATTCACTCCGGACCTTCCTTCCCTCCTAGTACTGGGATTACAGTAAGGCTGGTGTCAGAGTGCGCTACCCGTCGGGCGATTCGCACGAATCGCAAAAGTAGCATGTGCCCCATTGGATTATTCGAAACACTGAATATGAAACAAGGAAAATCATGAACAGTCGTCAGTCAACCATCACCATCAAGAAGAAATGGCATCCGTAGAATTGGAGTAAGCCTCGCAGTCTTGATTCTCGGGCCCTTAGTGATTTCTGTGACGCGTCGCGCGAATCGCGCGACGGATTTCGAACTCTGACACCAGCCCAAGCGGCGTGAAATTTGCACTAATCCCCCCAACACCCCGTAGCGGTAGCGCCCCCACTTCAGATTTGATTTTTCCCCGTCACACGTGTACCAGTGCGGTGCGAGAGTTTCCGATTAGCTCAGACGTTACGCTATGCTCTCATATTCATTTGTGCACGCTTTCAGCATTATGTCGCTCGCTCCTGCTCAATTTTTTTCGTTCCAGCTTCTTTCTACCTAAGCCTAGAAAAGTGAGACTCTGAATTGCATGAGCAATTTCCGCCTTTCCCAGGAGATTTTCATCGCACCGCTCCTTTCTCCAGAGCTATTCCCACAATAAGAAACTATAAACTAAATAATTGTCTATACCAATACCGGTTCTGTAGCGGCACTCCCTTCATGTTGAAGGATTCCGATTATGACCTCCCTTGAAGTCTTATGGCATGTAAACCGTGTGCTTGCACGTGATACTCCAAATTGGCGTAAAGGAGGTGCGCACCTTCTTTCACTTTAACCTCGCTCCAGTCAATCAACAATCCTCAAGAACCACGAGCATATTACTGTCCAGCTGCGAAAATGAATGGAAACAGTTTTAGAGCATCAAATGACAAGTCATTCGATCGAAAAAGCTGCCTTTCGGCCTCAATTGGAGGTATCGAACACGCCATGACATTACAGTCTACATTGGTACGAATTAGAACCATAAAATAACCATTAATAATCGCTGTTTATCTGCGTCAACAAAAAATGAGGGGGGGGGTCAGCAAGGCACGAGTTTAATAATTTATTACTTTGTCAGATTTATTCCCTCCTTTTATTTATTTATTCATTGGCCAATCACAGAAAATAATACAAAGTAGTTATCGAGTGTTTACCAGCCGATTGACTTATTGATTATCTAATAGAGAAAAACGTTTGTGGTAGGAACTCCATACGGCTCCATTAGTTAGTGCCATTAGTTTTGAGGGAGCAATCCGTTATGCACCGATAGATTCATATAGACCGGATGGACTTCATCCAAAACTCAAATATATAGAACAATGGAATTTGGGCGAGAGAGGCAGAAATTCGAGAATTCTGGATTGATTCTGCCGAAATGAGGGCAACATCGCAACCGCGCCGGGTTATTGATTAGTTTACCAAGAGGTGGTTTGCAGCTGGGATCTCTGAGTGAAGTGGGTGCTCATCGTCTCACATCCAGTCCGATTTCTCAATTTCTCGTCGCTTTTTCTTTTATTTGTTGCGTAAAAACACTTTAAGAACCATTTTATGCTATCTCCTCTAACATATTTATGAGATATTTCAGAAAATCACATCAAAATTAGTGGCCGGTACCTCCACAGTCGTGTGCCTTAGTTTTATTCTTTTTTAAAGAACCCAGATAATTCTCTATTCGAAATTATACTTCAATCAAGTCTGCAACTCTTATATGATACATTCCTGCATGTTGCAGTACGGCATTAGGCGGAGATTGCTTTCTATTTATTATTGGCAGATGTGAGCGCAGATCATCACTTCTTGCTTTGACGCAGAAATATTAGACATCTAACTGAGTTTTGACTCTCCCATTTGAAATGTTAACGTAAGCTCTCCACTAGATTGCTAATTCTGTTAAAATCGATGCAATCCCTTTCACTTTTCCAGTGAGATCGATGCCACAACTTTCATAAAACTCAGCTGCTGCTGTTTGAAGAAAGTTGTAAATCTCGACGCAAATGATCGATGCTGTGGATTTTTTTCTTGCTCAACTAGCGGAGCGTTCGGAGAAAAATGAAAGTTGGGTACAACTAAGTCTCGAGATTGTGGAGGTAGTATTGGGCTGTCGGAAAGTTCCCGCCGTTTTCATAGCTCTTTTTTGAATGCTTCATTTCTGAGTGACTTTCAAGAAATTGCTGGCACTTGTGTATCGTTAGAAAGCGCGTTCCTCGCTCTGTCCAAATGTCCTGTTTTCCACCCCGGATCACTTTTCCACTTTCTGTTTGAAAGTCTTGAAAACAGTATACCCAATCGTTGAAAAAGTGCAGAAGCAAGTTGCGATACTAATTGAGCATTTGGTTCTGAGTCCACGAAAAATACGCTGTGCAGTCGTAATTCAAAATGTCTTTCTCGCGATGTTGAAAGCTTCGAAGGAGATTAGTGATATCGGAGACTGATAAAGATCAGCTGAGGGTTTTGGCCGAACCAAATCTGCATGAAACTGTTGAACATGCTGCTTCCGAATTGGGCGTAACCGACATAAGATTTCCAACATAGTGGTCGGGGTAAAATGCCCAAAGAAGTTGAAATTTGGGTGCCGCCGGCTCTTCTACCACTGCTGCACAACCCCATCTCGGACTTCCAAGTTGAACTAGCTGAGCTACGAAATTGTGCTGTAAACATTTTACACTTTAGACCTATGCCTACCTACTATCACTTTTCCAACCGTCTGGAAGGCCTACTTAGGGAGACTGAGCATTGAACCCAGCATGGTGGGAAAACAACCTTCGCCTAGTTCTTAGCTCACAGAACTCTAGCACTTCCAACATACCAATGAGTTGAAACTCATTCCTTAGCAAAGGTTAAGAAAGTAATAGTTTTTGTTTCGAGCAAGACGCTTCGTTTGAACCGAGATATGCGCTTTCGAATTTGAGAGTCAAAATCGGCAAACTTTCCGAACAACAGAGTATATAGGATAGGAGGAGTGCTCCCAACAGAATTTCGACTTTGTTGTTTGGGATGAACGCACAATATTTGCTTGAGCATTATCTTGAAGCAGAGTGATGTCTGTTCCTCACTCGTCTCCCTTGCTCTCTTCTCTCCGAGCCTCATTCGCCTTGGCGCCTACCTCTCTTTAACGCCTGTTCCGCAGTCTCGTAAATTCGTAATACTCCACAAGGGAGGATTTGTTCGGAATGTCTTTTTTCTTCGTTGACGGTCTATCTCGCGTCTCTTTCTATTTTCATTTTTGAGGGCGGTAGCCCTGGTCAGTTGATCGCGTAGTGAACCTCCGCATAGTCAAATTGAAGGTGTGCTGTGGTTCTTCGAAGTTTCGATATTCCTATAAACTTTATTTTAGAGTTCGTAGCTTAGAGATGCTTTTATTCTCGCCAATGTCCTTTTTTGTGGTAGGAGGCACTATTTTCATTAGACTAAATATTGCAGAATCTCAACGCTTAGTACTTAGGTTTTGCGGAGGGGTGGGGGGGGTGAAATAACTTTGTTTTCATCAACAACTCCTGCTAGGCTATGCTAGACGATAGATTCTTAGACGGTATTCCGTGACTCTAAAATAGATGTAGTTTTGATGATGGTGGAGGATGATTGAAAGTTATGGGTGTACTTTTCTTCTCGTAGCGGTGAAAGCGTGTCATTCCTTGTGTTAGGGAAACTGTACAAACAACACCGCTGTACTGAGTCTTGTTAGCCATTATGAGAGGCAGAAAGTGCGATGCAAATAAGCAGAGACAAAGAAACGGGTTCGTTGCACCATCACGATCTTAACAAGTTTGAACCAAACGTTCTTTATCAGTCGATGCTTCTACTTCTTGCTCACTCTTTACCTTGTTTTCCACGGTTTTCTCGATTTTAACGAGGGTAGACTAGATCATTACGTCTCCAGTGTTGGCATGTGTTTTTACAGACACTAGCCGTCTCTGGGTCTTGGTTAAAAACCTAAACGGCGTGGTATGCGGTTCTGCCTGCCGCTATGTGCGCTCTTGGTTGTGGTCGTTCTTGGATCAGACTATCCACGAGATCCTTATGCAACTCTTGGTATTTCGAGGAGAGCCACTGCTAAAGAAATCAAAAGGGCGTACAAGCAGCTTGCCAAGGAATGGTAGGTTATTCATTTTAGTGTCAATGAATTTTGTAAAAAGGGCATAACTTGACAACAAGTAGAGGAATGCTCAATCCCATGATTGAAAAGTCATACCCTGAAAGCCATGGGTTCCATTCAGTTGCTTGAAAGAAAGTGGTAGGTTCCCGTTTTCGGCTTCCATTAGAAAACAGGAAGCAGTCGAAAATTTGGTCCATATAAGGAAGCTATGGCCCTTCGCAGTTCTTTTGCAGTTTTGGATTTTTTCTCATGTTTACACGTGAATTTTGTAGGCACCCGGATAAAAATACCGCACCAGAAGCTCAAGATCGATTCGTTGCAATAAGCCGGGCCTACGAGCTTCTGTCAGATCCACTGAGAAAGGAGCGATTTGATAAATTTGGAGCAGTTGACGAAACACCGCAATCTGGAGCGCAGCATCATGGATTCGGTGGATTCGAACACTTCGTAAGTAACGCTGTTTCGTCTTTGATTGGTTCTCTTTCATCAAGCGCCTCTAGGTAAGAAAGAAGATCACATTTGATGAGAATTGTCGAGAGGAAAATTATAAATCTATGTGATGGCTTCGAAAAATTTTTGCTCTTTAATGCCTTGCTGCTATTGAAGAGCTTGTAATTATGACCTTTTTGACACCTCCAATTGAAGTCAGTGCTTTTAAGTTTGGTGGATTTGGTGGCTACGAGGACGGTATTTTTGGCAAGCAGCGAATCTCTCTTCGTCAGTACACTCATACAATTTTGGAGAGGTACTTTTTAGCACGTTTTCATTATTGTCCTCTTCAGTTTCGATAGTCTTATGTGATCCTTGTATTGGTCTAAATGAGCATTGTTAAATCCATAGATTCAGAGGTATGGCTTTCTTTCCAGAAGTCATTATCAGCCTTTCCTCCTTTACGCCTACTCCAATTATTGTCAGCTGTGCTTCCGTTTGCAAGCGCAATGGAAATCTGTCTCGGAAGATCTAGAACCTTTAGGCACGTCTAAATTTTTGGTTTCGCAGTTTCAGTTCGTTCAACGTACTTTTATTCAGGTTACGGTATCGGTGCCGTCAACGCCATGACTGATGGTAATTTATTGGAGAAGTTGAGGATTTCCCGTCTTCCTGCAATTGTAGCCATCGTTGAAGGCAGAGTGACACATTATCGTGCGGATATGTTCCTGATGAATGCGAGGTTGAAGTTAATTCTTCTCTCATGCCTTCTTTTGTTCCTAATAACAGTCATAGTCTAGGTGATCGAGCGAACATATTTACGATCCGGCCTCGATTTTCCTCTGAAATTTTTCTTTTATTTAATCATGGGGCGCATTTTCTCGAATGGTCGCGTTTGGCATAGGTCACTTCCTCTTGATGGTCCCCCTTTTCTGACTCATGTTGAACCGCTTCGGGTCTTTTGCCCTCGAAAACCAGCCTATTATCCTCAATGATATTAAAAAAACATTTGACCTAAATTTTTGCGCACAACACTGACCATCTGCTTCGAAATCCCGAATAATGTTCAATATTGTTTAAGAGATGTGCGTGTTTTCGCTCGGGATGTCATTCCAAGAACTTATATGGGTTTGATCAACTCCCACGATGGTCTTTCAAGATTTGTCAATCAGTGGCAACAGAGTAACAAGGTTATTACAAAGCTAGAAAACAACAATTTCTCCTCCCAGTACTTCTTTTCATTTCCAGATATCTGTGGTCGTGTTGGGAGCTGCTCCTGAACCACGGATGCGATATCTTCTTGCTGCAATGAAATACTCACATTTTGCTCGATTTGCATACATTCATCTTTCGTCGCCGTCAGATGAGGTGCGCAAAATACTAATAACAAAGTTTTATTAACTCTATATGTTGGTCAAATTTTAGGTGGCATCAATTCGTGATGATTTGGCCATCAAGTGTACGCAGTGTGAAAATGTTCTCATATTCAACGACTTACCTGGGGTAGGTATCCGATGATTCATGAATATTATTTTTGTTGAGCTCTCCTGTGCCTGGGTACCCATAAAATAGACCTAAACTGGTTGTTTCCAGGGTGGACCTGTAGCCAGACTGTCTATTAGTAACATAAATCAGCTCACCATGGATACACTGAATAACTTAGTCGAGAACAACAAATGGATAAGCTTGCCGAGAGTAAGTTCCCAAACCGTCAGTTATGAATTTACTTTCAATAAGGGTTATATTCAAGCTCTCGTCATCTGAATACCTTGACGAACTGTGTCCTGTGTCGTCAAGAAATCCGAGACGCCTTTGTGTTATTTTGCCTGTGATGGATTCCTCAGAAGATGAAGGTTTTCTGAATAGTTTCCGCATGTTTGCTCGTCAACACAAGGATCTTTATGCTCAACAGAAGGTGAGTAATAGTCAGTGAGATAGGGATCACGTTATATCATCAGAACAATTGCACAGGATCGGAGTTTTTAGCAAGATTGTCTTTTAACTTCTCTCTCTGTTTTGAATTCCCCAAAGTTTCCCGTTCATCTTTGCGGAACCGCGAGCGCACGCCCTCTACTTGCCTCGATTATTTGCGTGTTGTGAAATATCTGTGCAAGCGCTTACCTCGGAATTGAAATTCGTTTGTTCCAATGTATCTGATGAGATTAAAATTTAGGTTGTTCTCACCTACATCTATGCCAATAGACAGTCTGAATGGATAAAACCGTTTTTGGAGAAGCGAGCAGGCGATAGCGTTGTGAGTGGGCCTTAATTCTACTAATAATAAGTTTATGACTCATTAAATGATTAATCGAGCGTTCCAGGCGGACGCCAGGGATGTGTTGGTAATTTGGCGAATCGAACACGTGAAGGCTCGTTTCACGTGGCTCGAATCCGCCTGGGGTGTTGGTGCAGAACACTTTGAGACGTTGTTGGGTAGTGTAATATCACAAGTGACACGATTGGATCTGACCGCCCCAGTGGGAAACTTGGTGAGTTTTGTTGGAGTTTAAATCGAACGGCGGCGTAGGCGAGATATTTAAGCTGCGCCGCTCACTTTTTTTCGTTCAGATAAATGAGTATGCGCCGTCGTGGTGGACGCGTATGTGCCGCGCTTTGGTGCGCATGGTACAATCTGCCTGGTTCCATATAACAAAAGAAGAGGCATATCCCGTGTTGTCAGCTGTTGCAACGTTTCTTGTTATTCTTGTTATTGGCTACACTCTTAACTACATGAATCAGGAGTCGAGGCCTAAGAAAGTGAGTTGTTATTCAAAATTCAGTTTGTGATTATTTACTTTTTTCTTCTGTTTTGGGATAAGCCACGAACATTCGCTAGCGATGAGTGGCATCCAGAAGATCCGCAGTCGAAGTCAGATCCTCCACAAAAGCCAAATCCTCAGGCAAGATTGCAGCGGTGAGTGTATTTTTTGATTGTGGCAAATGACTTTATATACACTTTGATGTTCACTTTCCTTCACAAAGATGGGCATATCGTACTTTTTCCCTGGATATCAAGTGGGAAACCGAGGGCATTGTGGATAGGGGTGAGAAGGGTGCTGTTTTTCCTCACAGGTTTTGTCCTTGATAGCAGTTCATCGCAGCAGATCCGAAGGATATGTATGGTTGAAATAAACCAAAGTGCAGCAAGCATTTATAGTTGCCATTAGGTTTATGTAGACCTGTTTTGCATTTGATAAACTTTTTTGGTCTTTGTTTTGATTCTTTTATGTTTTTTTTTTCAGTGCACTGTCCATAATGAACCCACATATCCATGAATTGCGGGCGGAGAGCTATTTCGGCATGATCCGTCTGCTGAAACCAGGCTGTAGATCACTTATACTTCTCGTCGATGAGGAAAACAAAGAGAAATTACTCATGCAGTTTGCCCAATATATTCTGCCTCTTAGGAAGTAATTTCTGAGTTTTCTCGTTTTAATTACGAAATAGTGAAGCACTTTAATAACCTTTTTTCAGCAATAAAACCTTTTCGTTTGGTTTCCTGATGGTGGAGAAGAACTTGCCTTGGTTCCGGAAATTGCTCGAACATACACTTCCCCTTGGTGACGAAAATACTCCAAAAGATGGAAATTCTCTCTATGTAAAATTGAAGGTGAACAGAACTCAAGCTACATCTACTGCAAAAGCATTTTTGTAAAAGCTTTAGATGAAGTGGAGAACGTCATGTTCCTAAGAGTATATTTTATGTTTCAGTCAATAAATCCTCGTCAGACAGTTGGCACTGTCCTTGCTTTGTGCGGTTGGAAGCTGTACTTTTCGATATACCATCCCATGCACACAGCTGGAAAGAAGAAGCAACAAAATCAGCATTTCTTGGGATTCGATGACGATGAGGATATTACATCGGATTCGGATAGTGATAACGGTACTGCAGAAGATGTGAGTTTAAAGGATTTCTTCAGTCATATTTTTGAGAGAAAAAATGGAACGTCATCACACAACATTACAAGAAGGATATGCGTTTAGAATTTAGACCCAATTTTGCCTGTGTTTCGATTCTTAAGAACTGGAGAAGGAAAATGTAGAGGGTGTTCTGGTTTCAAGAGAATCGAATAGCGATTATAAGATTGAATCTATTCAACGTGTTTTAGGAAGTAATGCTGCGTCGTACGGGTAGTGCTGTGAGCGTGGAGAATGTCCTAAATGGCTTCCCAAATTGGTTGGATAGACTTCTGGAAGGCTCAATACGACGGTATTACATCCCGGAATGGCCAGATAATCTACGATAATCGCGTTGCTCCGTAATGTGCCCACAGCATTGAACGAATCATCAAAAGTCTTTTCTACTATGTGGTCATTTTCACCATTTATTTATTGGATTGTTTCTAGTTTTAGTTTCCTTGTGAAAATTTGCCTGCCCTGTGTGACGTATTAAAGCTAAGATGCCTTGGTTACGTTGCTATGGCATCCAAGCCGGATCGTCTTCACATGTCCATCATGTAAGTGTGCTTAATTAGCTGCTATTTGTCGCTCTAGAACTATTGTGCATTCTTGAACAATCCTTCCCTTGCTGATGCTTTTAAAGCATAATTGTTCTGTATGTATCTTTTATCTCGTTATCTCGATTCTCACCCCAATTCAGTTGTTTTCGTCTTTACAGTGCAATAACCGCGCATATGGCGCCAGTCAGAATTTTTTTCTTTTCAGAAATGCCGCTATACTGTTTATATAAATTGAAATTAAATTTTTATGAAGTACTTCTTCTGTTGCAGAAGCGTCTATCGAACGACATATCTTTATCTTTTTACGCGCAGAACCTAATGTTGCAAACTTATCTCTTTCGCAGCGGCATGGCCTTTGACTTGTCTCGCACTTGGGAACATGACTACTGAACGAGAATTTCTAGAAGAGTTCGTTTATGAGTTATTTTTAACTTGCAACATCTCCTTCTGCAATGTTTTAATGAGTACTTTTCGTTAGCTTGCTTAAAATCGTAACCAAGATAGTAACTTCTATTCGGCTAACGTTTCGGCCTTGTCGCCTTCGTCGGAGCCTGGAAAACCGAAGGTAAGTGCTGCATCCCCCTAATACCATTTCAAACTTCAAGAACAGTCCCCTTTACCCAATTGAAGTAGAAAGGCATCACTTGGACCCACTCCAACGAACGACCGGACTTGATCTCGACCACTGCTAATCTGACTCAAAGGGGGTGGCTTATAGAGAACTGTTTCTGAAGTTTGAAATGGTGTTTGGGGGATGAATCGCATTTACCTTCGGCTTTCCAGGCTCTGACGAAGACGACAAGGCTGAAACCTTAGCCGAATAAAAGTTACTATCATCTTGGTTACGTTTTCAAGAAAGCTGTGAAAAGTACTACAAACTCGGTCAAGATTTACTGAAAGTCAGCCTGTGTACTTTCAATGAATAGTTCTGCTTTGATATAGTGAATTCATGCTCGAATGATCATTGATTATCCGCAAAAAATTGATAGCGGTAATTCAGAGAGCTATCTTGGAAGTTTACATAGTAGTGATGATCATTCATGTAATCTCATTCGAATTTGAGGCGCAAGTGATTGGAAATGTAAAAAGAAACTTTAGCATCCAGCACATCGTCCATGTGGAGCTTCTCCATGAAGTTAATCAAGTTCAAACCGGGATGGGCCACTTTCTTGTTATCCACACGTGATGTAAATGCTTCGTGTACTTCTTGCCACTTTTCGGTAAATTCTGAGAATAAAATCTGGGTCAGCTCTACGGTCCGATGACGTCGTAAATACTTGCGAAATTGCTGCAGTTGCTTTATAGGCTGCCCTAGTGCCATTTCTCACATGAAACTTGCTGTGGGGAAAAGCGTAAGGCACGCGCCGCTGCGGCGCGGTGATAAATCAATATATATATATGACTGGCACAAAGTTCTGTGCGTTCCAACTTCCTTGTTGACCGTGACCCTGTGCTAATGCACCAGTTGTTGCTCTTTCTCAGACAGTGTATTTCGCTGCTAAGTTTTTCTTTGATGTGCCACCTCGTTTTTTGAAGTCGTAAACATGCTGAACTTTTTGATTTGTTATAGATAATGCCCGAACCTCGTCCGAAATGTGTTAAAAAAGTACTACATGCCGGCCGTGGGACACTGCCAGAGTATCGAACTGGCACTAAAGCACTATTTCACTATGAGACGTTGAAGCCGATAGAAGTGGTGAAACCAGAAGTTGGGATGCCAGAGAGCAGGTACTTTTAGCTAAATATTCAAGCTGCATGGCTGCGGTCATACCTTGCGACTTCCCTGCACTTCGCTTGCAGCTAGAGTATAGATTATTGATGCAGCGCGCGGTTGAGCCTCGGTATTGTTTTGCCAGCAAACGAAAAGATGTCAGAGCGATATACAAATCCAATGGTGTACGTAAAATACGAAGTTTCAGAGAGCGTTCGCGTTTTAATCAGCATTGCTTTTGAAAACGGAGCAGCAATAAATTACGATATTCGATCGGCCTAACGTAGTCTTCAGCGGTGGGCTAATATTGCCGCAAATATTCAGTAGATGAGAGCATCACCTCAGCAGTATGCCTCCCAGTATTTAGCCCTCTTATAATTTTAATAGCGCTTTGAAAATAAATGAAGAAAGATGGCAGCCCTGGTGTGGTTCGCTAGGACAGAAAACGGCTTTTCCGCTTTTCGTAGCGGGATTTTCAGGTCCACCATTAGGAGTGGAACTGGGATTCTTTCACAAAAATGCAAAAGCCACACCTTGGCAACCCTTTTTTCAAAAAACACTTCCAAGTTTTTCAGAGACGATTATGCAGTAATTGACGATACAAGAAGTCCATGGCCGGATGGATACGGAAAACCGCTGGAATTGATATTTGGAAAGAAATTCCAATTGCCGGTATTCGAGACTTGTTTGCGGTCAATGTTAGTCGATGAGGTGGGTTTCATAGGCATTATAGCTACGCTTCTAGTCGTTCAAGTGTCTAGTGATAGACCCCCTTTATTTTGTTATTAACTGCGTTTTTTCCTAACATTTTTTTCTGTCATAGTCTAGGATTGAAATCTGGCCACGAGATCTTTTTGGCTCGTTGTGCTCGCAGCGCTTTCTGTTTTCATAGCTCAGGTCACGACAAGGCGATTCGCCCATTTGTCGCGCGCTGTACGTAGAGAAATTTTGGGTCACATCAATGAACGCGATCGCTCAGGGTGGCAATTGGACAGGCAAACATGGCATGCAGATATTAGAGCCCTGATTAGGGTAGAGGAAGGCGAAGGTAATATTGCTCGTCGCTGGTCGCGGGCATATCGCGCATTACACCTTAAGAGGGTGTATCGCCGCGTAGTGACCTGACGGTACTCTGCCACTCATCCTGTAAAATTCGTAATTCATCGCGTTTATTTCATGTACCTTGTTTCGTACGGATTTAAAAATTTCGCACCTGCAACAGCGTTCAGGGGACTGATTCTCATTGAAATTATTATTGCCCACTAATCAGTGAGTAATTTTGTAGATCTTCACCAGTCATGTGGGAATTGAATCCGAGCTCTTAGCATATCAATGTATCGAAGAATTTACGCGATCTTTCCAAACCACACGATAAAGGAGGCTGTCATTCGCATGACTCCCACATGTGTGCAGCCGCTCTGACAGCCGGGTAGGTTGTAGCATATTGTTGATCACTCACACACTATGTGAAGTAATCATTTGAAGAACCGGGTATGCTGTTTTGGACGAGTTGATGCGAGATCCACGTCCGCTGAGGTTCATATTCCACTTGCTATCCGTGACACAACCAGAAGAGTACGAGGCCGAAAGCTGGCAGTTAGGCACAAAGGAGAAGTTGGAATCAGTAGAAACATTACGATTGCAGGGAAATCAACTGTTTTCTCAGGTTCGATTATCTGTGGCGTTTTATTTTTAATTTGGGCTCCTATCAAAAATAAAGGGACAGGGGTTCAGTGCAGATATGAAGGAAAAGCATGAGCAAACGGCTCAGAATCGATTAAATGGGATTCCTTCTTTGCAAGTTGAATTACGTAATAACTTCGTATCTGCTGTTACCCCCCTATTTTTCCGCTATCAGCCTAGAGTGAGACGGGCGAGGAGCCCAAATTCGTTGGACGTGAGCGAAAGCAGTGAGCGGCAGGCTGGCTCTGAGAGCATACCCTTCTTGATAAAGCCGCCGCATGTTCCCCAAACTCTTTTTTCGACTAGGTAAACTGCTCTTTTTCGACTCGCAACCTTATCGTGGAATCCTTTTTCATACAAACTGCTGAAATGGGAATTTTCTAACCGGGATAATCCATCCTGTCCTCAACAATAGTTAAGAACCTTCCAGTTCAAGTCGCTTCACAAATTAGTTTCAGTTTACCTTAACACTATGAGTACATGTGGATTGGCGTGCTGCCACACGAAAGGGCTGGAGGTCAAAATGCGAACTGATTTTCGAGGACAGCGAAACTGCCCTTCTTCTCCTGAGTTTATTAGTAGGTTATAGATTCTCCTGGGTGACCGATACACTGACCTGTAATCATCTGCCCCTAGCAAGCCATTTTGCAAGCTAAACTTATTTCTTTATCCATACTTCATTGTCTGCATTCTCAGGATATCATTCAAAAATGTGGAAAAATTCAAGTGTTCCTGAGGTTCTGGGAAGGTTCTGGGAAGAAGTAGCATGCGGTCAACGTCAAGTGTTTTCTCTTTTGACAATTTATCCCCAGGATCATGTGAGATAAATTTTAAGCGAGAGTAGCGAATCTGACTTGTTGCAACCGCGCGTGCGAGTGTGGCCAGATTCCTTTCGTGAACACAGGAATACTTTATAACACAGTAATCCTTGAAAGTCGAAGGTGTTCAGTAAAAATTTTCAGAAAAATTACGCCGAAGCGATAGACAAATATAGAGAGGTTAGGTCGACTTGATACACTTATGTTGCGAGAAAAACCAGGAGAACCAGAATGGGAAGAGTTGGATCGAAAAGTGAGTGTTTCAGTAACATTTGCTTTTGATTTGGTATCCATTCAACTTTCTAGAGTCATAAAAATATCTCTTTCAGAACGTCTCCTTGTATTCAAATCTGTCACAGTGTTACTTAAATGTCGGCAACATGTATGAAGCTGCTGAGACTGCAAGTGAGGTGAGAACGAGTGAATTTTTTTCTCTCCGAGTGAAAGTAATCCATCGTTCCTCTTGAATGATCGACCGGTCAGACTCGGGACAAGTGGTGGCGGGCGAGGTCAAAAGAAAGAATGCAGAGGTTATAGGCGGCCCCTATCCTTTTTGGCAATACCGCAATCGAGTCGTTTTTCGATGGCAAAAGGGAGACTGTGATTAGGAAATCAGTCCGGCTGCATTAACTCGTGTTGAATCGAAAGCAATTGATGCGCAACTCTTTTGTATTCCAGCGCTTAGCATGGCGCATCCCAGAGGGATAGCTCAGCACCGACTGTTTCCTATTTTCGAAAAATTTCGTGCAGACTGTAGTGACAATTACTATGTTGACATAAAAAAGAACTGATTAATCAAAAAGGGATAGGCCCGAAACAAGGATTGCGGTGGTCAATCTTGCACTGTTTAGTGAATGATGAGTTAGATGTTGGGCAGATTAATGGGGGATGAAAGTTAGCTCATTGAAATGGGAGTAGTGGCTAGGGGAGCAGGGGTGAAGAAGAAACCATGCTAAAACTACCCAAAATTCCAGAATGGACCCTTTTTCGGTCCGGTTATTTCGCATCGACTTGCAACTACTCATTTGCTGCCCTTGACACTAAATGGCGCTCTCTCTATCTAATCACTTCGGCCCACTCCAAACCCTCTAAGCGTGCGGCCGTTGATCAGATAGGTCGGTGGGGTGGGAGCGCGATCGACGTTCCGCGCAGGCTGCTGCCACGGCGGCGCCATGCTGATCGTCGGGCGGACAAGATCCTTCGAGCCGAAATGTGGTGATCCGCACTCTCAGGGGGTGTTGTATGCCTCTCCACTTAATAGTAAATTTTCCTCTTTGACTTTTGTTGCTATCTGAATCCTCCTTCAAACTTCTATTTAGTGCTTATCCCGGGCGATCCGAACAATGAGAAGCCTTTACGGAGAGCAAAGAGCTACGGGATAGGCCGGGCTGGCAGCGAGATGAGGTAGTAGACATTCGCTAAGGACATCGTGTCAAGTCGGTACCGTCATCGCGTGGAATCGCGAGAGACCGCGCAAATACGCCGTGAAGGATCGCGCCATGAATCGCGGTGGGGAGTATTAGGGGGGATCGCCGAAAAATCAGCGAAACTTGCGTACGGATCGCGGCTCTTACACCAAGCATGTTACTGTAGCTGGCCTTTTTGGTGGATGTATGATATTCAATCTTGGTTTGTGCACACCGCTAATTCCTACTTAGTTGCGTCCAGTTCCTCTGTTCCTAAGCAAAAGACAGCTGAGGTGTCGCTTGCGGAACCTTTTCAATAGCTTCGTGATATCCTTTCATTTAGGCTGAAGAGGATCTTAAAAGGTTGGCACAGCTGTCGAACAGTGAACCGTTGGTGCAGTCTGAACTCGCAGTCGTGGCTCAAAAGAGAGCCGAATTAGCCGCCAGCAAAAAAGAGACCTACGCCAAGATGTTCAAATAGGCAGGCTACGCGGATTTTTGAATAGCGTTAGGTTGTGATGTGGGACGATTTCATGTTACTGATACTTTGTTCTCTACCACCACTTATGCTGACAACACATACTTATCTTAGCCGCTTTCAGGCGCTGGCAAACTGCTGGAATAGTCGCGGGTAAGGAGGGGGCGGCTGGGAGTCTGAGGATAAGTAGTCAGATAGATTGCGATTTGGTCAACTCCGCCATAATCGTGCCTCTCCCATCGAGCACATTTCGTTTAATCCGGCTGTGAATATTGTGTTGTAGTAGCGTGAACTCTGCTCGACTGCCTTCTCGATACGATCAAAATCGGTTTCTGACCGGATTAACCTTCTATGTGGATTTAAATTCTGCCGGATCACTCAGACATATAGACGGAAAACAGTCGTGTTCTGCAACTTCACTTCAGGTTTCTGCTTAATCATTCTTTTTCGAAAGCACAAAGTGAAATCAAAGTGAGTGCCATATCGCTCTGTTCTTAGAACTTCCAATATTTTTGCATTGACTTCTCGTATGGATAGTTAAATGGATCGGCTCCGCTCTCAAGTCGTGCTCTCTGGTTCCCACTAATCATTTTGCTCATCTTTGTTTTAGTTCATTTCTTTGCTAAGCTCATATCTACTCCAATTTCTTCTTCCGAGACAGAACAAGGGTAACTTTGACGGTGCTTCCGTGACCAAATTCTCTTTTGTTCCTCCTGAGCATATAACTCTTACATTATTCCCTGTCTTTCCCTGTCTGAGTTTTATATCTTTGTACTCCACTCGTGTTGTTTAGTGGACACCTAACGGCTATTGGGCAAACTTCAGGTGGTAAACCCCGCCCATTGACAAGCCACGCCCATCGTAGAGTGACGAGCGCGTTAAAAAATTCCTTGTTATAGTGCAGCGGGTAAGTAGACGCATTCCACATACTCTTAAATGGAATAGTACGCGTAAAATAATTCTCGTTGGTTGCGATTGTCCGATTCGTCCGTCACACAACTAGGTTGGCAAAACAGCAGCCACCATGATAACCAACCAGTCCTTCTCGCGGATTTTTCGATTCGCCGTATCTGAATCCTTGGCTCGCGAGTATCGATCGATAGATCGCGCTTTCGCTCGAGTCGCCACACGCTCCGTTCGCGCCAACCGAACGCGACCGTCGCGGACTCTGTCATGTGTCTTAACCATTCACAGCGATTAGAATGTTGCATGTTACCTTGCGCACAGACAAAACGCTATAAATGTGCTATGGATGGCAAGCAATAGATTCAAAGTGCTAGAAATGCCCTTGAGAAACGCAGCTGCGGTCCATTTTTGATTTCATGTCTTTTTACAGTTCTCATCAATGCTCCGTGTTTTCAGACAAACTGATGTTTACTTCATACCTCCTTATCGTCTTATTTACCCGTCTGTTGTCACCTGAGTGGTTGTTCCATTCAGCTTTTACAGTGTTCGCTACAGCCACAGTTTGTCGAAACTGAACTGTAATGATCGCTGCATTACTTCTTATGGTTAGCATGGTACTAGCCTTGAAAACTTGTTCTTCTCAGCGTCATTCCTTATCACTCTTTAACCATGTCCACGTCTGGGTCAACCTGCAAATTCTTGCCGTTCTTCATCAGCTCCTGTCGCGTAACACATTGACGAAGTCGTTGTGCGTGTCATCCTGGCATCTTTTTTGTAATTCTTCAAAATCATCACTACCGTTTAAGTCCTGTTACTGATAATGGATATACTGTTTTCCGGATCCAATAATGTACTTGGATGGTCTGCGAACACAAAAAAACGCTAAATAACTAGAGCCAAAATTGAATCTGCGCCGAGATTGTGAAGCTTATACGTTTACGCTGTCCAATTGTTACAGGTGGGGGGGGGGGCAAAAAAAGACATTTTGCCTATGTGGACTTCGGCCCTTTTTTCTTCGCAGAGATTGCCGGCGTTGACGGGAGTTCCTCAGCAGAGTATTCCCTAAGTGTCCCTCTATAAGTGAACGCAGGCCCTCCTTCACTGCCCTCACCGTCTTCAGAATATGACGTCATCTGTCACCGTCGTCAGGCTCAAGGAGGTCTACCGTAAGAGCTTCAGCCTGAAGCTCTTACGCAATTTCGTGAATCGATTTAATGTTGGATAGTTTTCTAGAGGCATTAGCTACCACTGTGCAAATCCCCTCGGAACTAGCTTTCCAGTAAGGGTCGTTATGGTACACGATCCTTCGAAGACCCCATTGAGCTCGACCAGTGCACCATGTTTCCAGGGCAAATTCTTCTGATGCCGTCCACGTAGGTGGCCACCATAAAGATTTTCTTATAGAATGGAATGCGCTCTTTAATAATAAGTTGGGACCATTCGATCTGAATTGAGCAAAGTGTGCTTAATCATTTGGAGTGGGCAAAAGGTCTTTTTTTATTGCCCCCCTGTATTTATGACATTTTCTGAATTAGCCCCGAGCATATATCAATCACATAGCCGCGGTTCTTACTTCGCGCGACTCCGGAGATTAGGATAGTACGCGACAATGAGAAATATGTATTGACGGGGAGATTAGGATAGTAGTAGAGTAGGAGATTGCGCTGACAAGATTAGATACGTATCGATTGAAATCGCTGGAGAGTAGTAGATTGCGATATTACGATAGTAGGATAGTAGTAGAGTAGGAGATTAGGATAGTAGTAGATTAGGATAGTGCGCTGACAAGATTAGATATGTATTGATCTATTCGCTTGAAGTCGCATAATCTACTACTCTCCAGCGATTTCAATCGATACGTATCCAATCTTGTCAGCGCAATCTCCTACTCTACGAGTACGGTGCCCCGGAGCCGTCTTGTAGCGTACTTGCCGCTCGATTCTCGTGGCGGAGAGCTTTGCCCATAAATCAGCTATTTGTGATAAATTGAACGTTCTTTCTCAAGCAAACAAGAGCGTTCTTTACATGGCTATTGGGGTTTTTTCCTGGTTCTATCAGCTTTTCTTTGAGTTTGTGCTCTTCCATCTTACCTTTCCATAGTACCACTTCATCGCTTATATCTCTTACTACACTTCGCAGTCGTCTTATCCATTCTTTTTTTGTGCGACTTTCTTAATTCTTTCACTTAACTCTTTTGCTCACGTCTGTGCCATTTCACACTAGTCACGTTCGCGGCTGTCGGTCACGTACGACATCGTCGGTGACATACACTTCCAACTACATATGAAGTATATGTTACAACGCGGTTTTGATGCGCAACCCCATGCATTCAGAAAGTTATGCTAAACTAATTTGAATTCGCGTGTGTTTCTTCTGGAAGGGATACTCATCATTAGCAGTTCAAAATATCTTCCAGTTTATTTGCTGTATTTACTACTATGATCTCTAGGTGTAAGCATTTCCCATGTCCTTATTGGATTGTCATCTTTCTATTTAAAGATTTATCTTTGCCGTACTATTAGCTCACGTATTTTGACAGCGATATTGATTTTGCGCGCATGTAATCGATACTTGACATGTCTACCAGGTGTTTACAAGTTCAATGGCCCTCTACATGGAGGGAGCATACTCCCGTTTATTATTATTGTACAAGGCCGAGTGTTACATTGCTAGATCATGATATTTTTTCAGTTTGCATGTTGTGTTCATTCGATATTGTACTGTATTTTCGTGTAATGCAAGTCAAATAGAATAGTAAAGGTTTTCACTGATATTGTTTTTTATGTTGTGCCTCTTAAAAAGGACGTATGCCTACAAAGATGCTTTTACTATGGTTTATTAATTTTTATGTGCAACAGTATTGATTATACGCTCGTATAATCAATATATTGATTCGAGGTATGTTAATGTTTGGAATTAATCGCAACTATTTGAAGTGTTCAGTATGTCAGCTGCACTTCTTTTCCTGCTTTCTGTCACTATGAGCATGGTAAAGGCTCCTCCACCCGGCGACAGACCAGAACAGGAGAATGCGGTTAGACATAATTTATTATTTTCCTAGTAAAAGTGATTTCACCTGAATGGGTAGATTTATGGTAAATCCGGTCCTAAGGAGAAAGGTGTATCACAGAGGAATCCTTGCGGCTCATTCCAGTCGGTTTTTCGGACATAGTAGATCCCGATCGAAGGCGATTTGAAGGGGGTGTGAAAAATGCCTAAAAAAGTATGAAATAACCGGTCCCTTCAGGATGTCCGTTAAGATTCCCCTCAGTCATAGAGTGTTCAAAACTCATATTTATGAAAAACGGCTTACTATGACCAGTGTGGGTTCATGGGTTACCCAAACCAATCTGTTTACCTAGGTATGCCTTTACATCTATACAAGCACCGGATGGCTGGTTTGGTTGGACTAGACGAATCTCATTTAGCAACCCGTTTCTGCCTTAGAAGAGGTTTTGTGACGAAAAGAGCCAGTATCACCAGTTCAAAGGTCACGGGAAGAAAGGAATATAGAATAGAGTACGAGCGCAACAAATGCAAAAACTTCTCCTCGGCCGGGAATTGGAACCGGGCAGCACGTGACAGCGCGATTACAACTTCACTATACTACCGAGGACTGCTTGAAGGCGAACAGGTTCTGGCTCATAAATGCACTTCAGACGGCGCGCTACGCCATCGATTGCATTGCCACAGCGGCAATTGCATGTTTTCGGTTCTCGAGTCTCCACTTGTGGACTTGGGACTTTATTGCTCAAAATATTTCATGCTCAACTTATTCTAATTTTGAGTATCACAATATTTAGAATACTTACGTAAGCGAAAGAAAGGATAATATTCCCATGGATTACCCAAATAACCATCATAAAATGTCTGAGAAGTTCTGAGAATATTATGGGCATGTAATTTCACGTTCGCAATTTTTCTTGGATTCCGTAGAATTCTTGGGATTTTTCAAGACCACAAAATTGCAAAACAACGGTGAGATTGAACGTGTTTATTTGTACAATAACGTCATTTGTAGGCAGGGCTCCGAATCCTACTCAGTGTTCTTGTGTACTGTGTTCGGTCGATCCGGTTCTGTGCTTTTTAATGAACATCCGGCTCTACGCTAGGTCTGACTCATTCAATTCATGCAAAGGTTTGGAGAACTATTCAAATTCGCGGAAGCCATGAAAAACCAAAGGAAATGTAGGAAGGAAAGAGGCAAACGAAGGATTTAGCTTCTGTTTCACGCTGATTCCATGCAAACGTCAAACAGGCATTAATTCACCCTATTGACGCTCATCAGTTAAAGGCAGAACGTACACTCCGTTTCATGCAGCCAGAAATCCACGTGGCACACGTGGCTAAATTCTCGATGAAAAGGTGACGTCACGTGTGCTCAAAGATGTTCTTGAATCGATGCCACGTTAATGCCACGTCAATTTCTGCAATTGCACAATTTTCTGGTCATTTGAAGGCGAGGGTACGTTTAGTTACTAATTCCGCTTGAAATAAGACGCTGGTGAGCGAAATCGAAACCGGAAAACGAAGTACGGACCTGCTTTTACAAAACACCTCAGGATGTGCCAGTGAAAATTAAATTATATAAAAGGTGAGTTAGTATAATCAAAAGGACCTATGTTGTAAGTCACGACCACAGCAACCAGTGCCCTGACAAGACAAAGAAAAATCGGAAAACCCGCAACTGTTTCCACTTGCAATTCACCAGCGTTCGAGAGAACAGGACATGCATAGAATTCTACTGGCTTCAGTTTTGCCTACTGAAAGCCAATCAGCTGGAAAAGCTAATGGACCGCGTGAGATACATAGTGGTGCAGCGTGGCGCGTCGCACTTAGCTACGTCAGACTTCCCCATACCTGTTAAGCCTCCCATGCTAGGTAAAAGGTACTGATTTGTCTGAGAGTTAGCGTGAATAACTGTGGACTCCCGCAAAATGTTCCATAGTTGAATACTCATTCAAATGCGTCCGGGATGGTTGAGCTTACGATTAGAGCTGATTGATGGCGGCAGACTCCAAAACATACCAAAATTGCATTTTTTTAAGTTTTTCAATCTCCTACTTGCTAACTGCAAGGACGTGGACAAACTGGAGAGGCCAGTGCACCTTACGCTGGATATTGGAGCGTGACGGAGAGCTGAACAAGGAGTTCCGCCAGGAGGTACGAGATTATATTGTTCAATACCTTTCAACCGCTAACGGTTCGCTCATAAATAGGTATTGCTTGGTGGAGGGAAGCCGAAGGATCCCACAGAGCTGCGCGAAATGGTGAAGAAGATGTTCTACGCGTAGGTCCTTTAAGAATATTTTTTAATTGAATACGTTCTTAAGGGACCATTGTTCAAATTCTTTAAAGGCAGGAATTTACGATGAAAGTTAGCTCATTGGAAATAAGGGTAGAGGTGGTCAGTGGAGCAGGGATGAAGAAGAAACCATTTGAAAAGGTCCGAAACCCGAGAAATTGGGACCCCTTCGTTTCTCCGTTGATTTGCGCATTGATGCGCCTCTCATATCAAGATAGACGGTGGCGTACCGCCACCTACAGGCGCTAAGAGTAAGCCGTGCTAGGCAACTTGCGCTGCCAATTGCGCATCGCGTCAGCCACCTCGGAGTTCGCCTGTGCCCCAACTTTGCTACCCCTTCTTTGACCTTCGTGCTTATCGTGAACTCCTCCCTTGAAGTGGGCGCAGAGGTAGGGAGGCGATGCTTATGCGAAAGGCCGTCGCGGACTGCATTTCTTCCCATCGACTGATTGCTAACGCGTTGTCATGTGGACGTCTTGCGTTTACGAAATCCATTGCTAACTTTTTTAATATTCTTTTTATAACATCGTGCTTTTTTTTTTATTGTTTTGTTTGTTAACTGCTGTTTGTGCCGCAACTTCGTCCTCAATATTACGAATGCTGGGTTGTGAACAAAACTTTCGCCCCAGGCGGGACTAGAACCCGCACCTTTCGCTTTCCGGGCAAGTGCGCTACCAGTTACGCTACCGGGGCACCATTTCATTCCAACTCAGCTTTTCATGGTATACGTACCATAGCTTTCAGCACTCACACGCACCACCCGTACAACGTTTGTAATTATTTCTTTCTTAGTTTTTTATATTCTAATTAATGTTCCATGGACCAATGTTCGGCACATACAGGAAGCTATACAGTAGTTAATTTGGGCCTCTTCAGGACCGACCAGAACAATGACGGAGCGTTGTCGTTGGAAAGAACTGGAGGCGCGAATCGTGAACAATACTCGGGCTCATTTACAAGAAGCGATTCTGGAGGCACAGTCACACTTCAACATAGTAGACACAAACAAGGATGGTCAGGTATGTGTACATCACAGTTGAATTCAGGCAAACTCAGAAGCAGAGCTTTATTGGAGAGGAGGGGCCTAGAACGAGAACAACCGTCTATTGTTTCCAATCCGGAAATTCGAAAATCGTCTTTTGAGGAGGGGCTTTCGATACGACCCCCACCACCACTATTAGCTTCGGAGAGTACCCCATGAATCCTTCTAAAAAAATCAAACACCTCAAATACGACCCCTCGTCTGTAGGTGACCGCGCAACGCACGGTTTGATCCGGCCCTCAGACGGCATACTTATAGTTGAGCATATATTATAACACAAAGGCACCAAAATTTATTTCAAAAGAGTCCCAAAAGTTCGCAAAATATTCAAAAAACTCCAAAATTCCAAAAAACACGAAAAGTTTCAAAAGAACTCCTTTGAAATCTTCTGCTATATTTCGGTGTTTAACACCTTCTTCAGGCATGTGTTCAATTCATGCCTCAGCCAAGGATTTAGCTGCCCTTACGGGAGCCTGCCGTGGAGTGGATTTCACTCCAACGGCGCGGCTCCCGTAAGGGCAGCTAAATCCTTGGCTGAGGCATACACATGCCTGAAGAAGGTGTTAAACACCGAAATATAGCAGAAGATTTCAAAGGAGTTCTTTTGAAACTTTTCGTGTTTTTTGGAATTTTGGAGTTTTTTGAATATTTTGCGAACTTTTGGGACTCTTTTGAAATAAATTTTGGTGCCTCTTTGTGTTTTATAACATTTAGGTCCTGATGAGGCTCCGGGACAGCACAATACTGAGAAGAAAACGGATAGCACGAAGTTATAACCCTTGGTCACTTGCATATTGCCGAGCATATGTATATACAAAAGAGATACCGCTGTTGTCACTTGCCTTCCAAGAATTAACGTGGTCCCACCATCATATCCACTCACCGGTACCGATTCACCCACTACTGGCAGATGCCTCCTGTAAATGAACTGTCTTCTTCACTGATTCTCTTTGTTTCACTAATTCCGCTCGAACTTCTCGTGATGTTCGTCTTATTTCTATTGGCAACATTACAGTAATGAGAAGAATGCCAGCTGATGACTAGGATTCTTATAAAAGAATAACGTCTGGCGCCACAGGCTCTCGATGCGACATACGAAGATAGCTGCAAGTACTTGCCACCGCGCGCACATAAAAATTGCGAGAAGCAGCGCACTGCACACGCATCACACCGCAACGCGTGAGGTATCTTAGCGCCGCCGCAATCGAGACCTCCTGACCTACACCCTAGAATTTACCATGGTTGAAAGGGTTGTGCTTCAGGTGTCATGGCATGAGTACAAACCACACTACCTCTCAAAGGACTCTCACAAAGACGGACATGATCATGAAAATGTGAACGACATTGGTACGGTAACGGTTTCCTTGTTCGCTTTCGTCTTTTTTTCGGTCCAAACTCCTTGCCCTATTTCGTCTATGTGAACTGCCTTATTACGTCTATCGTGAACTCTCCTTTGAAGATTCTGTTGCTGGTGGTGAACGAGCGTCATTCGACAGAGCCGATTTGAACAATAACGGGTTGCTAGATTCTGAAGAATGGCTAAGGTAGGCTCACTACTCTCTTCATCTTGAAAGTCTTACAGAGTACCGAGGACCAATAGGACATTTTCATCGGTTCCATAAGTAAACAGACCCATTTTTCTACCGCTTTCAGTTTTTGTTTAATTTCACGGTTCTTTTCTGTCTACTATCAGAAATATTGAGAATCAGCGAAGAGCTTGAAGGGTTTTGAACTTCAAAAACTTCTGCCGTGGTGCAGTGGCAAGTCCCGCCGCTATCTCACAGAGGTTGTGTGAATCTAATCGCAGGCCAGACTTCGCGCAGACCAGATGATTTTTCGTCTCCGACGTCGAAGAGTTGCAGTGAAAGAGTCTGGTAGAATAAGAGCTCAAATGATGACCGATCGTCCACCTTCAAATAGATGTATGGGACATATACGCATCCAAATGCTACGATGATCCTGAAGGACAGCTGAATGTTTGGCGTATCCTGAGAATGACTTTCTCTTGCACCGAGCACTT